CAGCAATCAACGCCGTTGTGAGCACGCTGCATATTTCGTGCTATTTGTGAGCATTCTTGCATGGAGCTTCCACCACAGAGTTCTGGCCGCAATCAACAAATATAGGTAGGAAGGCTGCTATGCCTCCTCCTCTTCACCGGTTGGTCGGTTGACTCGCGTCAAATTGAGTTTGTATTTCGGGCCAAGAATACGCTGCATTTACCGACCTTGAGTGACGAATGACATGCCCAAGGTGTCCCTAGAAGGAATAAATGGGAAAATCATTGGATAAATAGCCTAGCTCAGCGGTGTTAAACGTCACAGCGGAACACGGATGAAACGAGTGCGTTGATTCTGCAGTGTAGTGATGCCGCCTAGGTACATATGTAGGCTATTCGGAGCAAATAGTGATGCGTCAATCCTTCCCGCGCGGCTCGGGCTGCCCGGCACTACAATGTTTAGTAATTGATACTGTCGGCGTTGTGACTCGTGGCCAATCATTGACAACATATAAAGAGGGGGGAAACCACTCGTACAGTCAAGTTGAAAAAACAGTGCCATCACCAGATCCTACATTTCGACGACGCAAACAACAACAACCGCTCAGTGCAGCCGCAACCCTTTTCCATCATGTTCCAGTTATTCAACTCGCTTCCCCGCGGTGTCATGGCTTGCAATAACGTTATTTTCGCTTCTCTCGCCTATGTTGCCGACTGGAACGAGACGCACATTTACAACCCGCGCTGGCCGCCGCATGCCAAATTTCACAACGGCCAGAGCATGTCATTTGGTGTTTTATCTGCCTTGACCACCATCTACCTTCTAGGTAGACGCAGCCCCAACGCTACGGCCGCGAAAGATTCTGTATTTATTGCGGCAATTGTTGGTTCTCTTACCACTGCGGCCGGTCTATCCGCCGCTTTGTACCCGGGCACTGCCTGGGCTGACCCGGAACGGGATACTGGAGCAAGGATAGGCCCACAGGGTTATCTTTTTATGGCCCAAATATGTATCAACTGGATAGCCTACTTCTTGGAGAAGACAAAGATTGACAAGGGTTCCAAATTGCAGTAATTCCCTGGCCTTGTTGGATATTGGATCCGTGATGGGGTCAGGTTTGGCCTATGTCGTGGGAAACTTGGTGATATTCCTGGGGCAGGTGCTGACAGGAGGACGGCAGCTTTACGATCGTGGAAACAACAAGTCTGACATTGTGGGATAAAGCTGTTGACTTGGGTAGTCTTGTGGTGGGGAAAACGTCTGTCCAGAGGTCTTGTATCCAATGAAACACAACCAAACCCTGCTTATTGATCATTAGAATGTTTATTCATTGTTGGTTTCTGATATTCACCGTCTCCAATCATCAAGCGTGAACCGTTTTCCAGCCCTCTAGACCTGATTCGGATTGTAGGAACATAGATGCAATGTCACACTCGGACAGTGCTTGTATTAATACCGCGACTGGAGCTTCACGAAGCGAAACTTTGGCTATTATCTACGCAGCTTATGATAGCTTCTTAATCGTGCCGTTAGTAGTCTCTGTGGCTGTTGGGGGTGACAGATGCAGTGTGACAAGGGCTCAATAGAGGGCTTGGAGCAATGACTCAATTCATCTAATAACAGTCTTTGGTATCAAAGGTCCTTGGTTTTCCCCAAGGCCTTGAAGGTCAAACACGCCTTTAAATACAAGAAGTCGGTGAGGACCTTCTGCCCTAATCCCGTGACCGTAGCCCTTGTGTAACCAACGCCATTTCCGTGTAACATGCAGAGACGCCGAAGCGAGGATTGCGCCTTGTACTGGCGCAACGAGGAATATATGGGAGTGGATATAAACCGCGCCAGCACTCACCCCGACCAACGTGATTCTGCCCTGCGCTTCCTGTCACCCTGCCTTGAGGTGCTTTTCCAAGCAAGCAGGCACACAAGGCGTTACTCGTTGGATCTCCATCAAACTCGTCAATGTTTCGAACCACCAATTCGATTGCAAGTCTTGGTCCCGCAAGGCGAGGAGGTCTTTCATGCAACTCTGATATTCGAACGCGAACAAGTAGAGTAGATGGTTGACAGTGACAACCATGATTGGGTTCCCCGAGGACATGGATTATGCAACGATACGTGTCGAGTCTGCCTCGGGGTTAGTCTCATCGTAGTTCCCAGAAATCTGACGGTACAAGGGACAAGCTAAGTCAATCGCTACTTGGAACAAGGCGATTGTTACCAAGAAAGGTCCGGTAAGAGAGTCCGAACATTGAGGAACTCAGACTATCTAGGCCCTACAGTGGGAGCGTTTCCCCACAAAACGACGAGTAATTCGTGACGTACCGCCGACTCGCGACGATGCCGGGGTGAAGCATCATGACTTGGGAGCCTCCTGATGGATGTTAGGTCTATAGAAGGCATGTGGAACAGCAGTGGTTGTGGAAGACGGCACCGGGGGGTATACCGTACACACACATCAGAACCGGAAGGCATTTTTCACATGTGGACGCATGATTCGGGCAGTGCGCATTGAGGTTGAGACAAGAAAACTCGTCGTACGATAGATCAGCATCGCCGGACCCTCCTGGAAGCCGCAGAAAATAGCCCGTGTCGAGAATGATTTGTGGACACAACGGACTGGCTCTAGCTCAGAAGCTGTAGGCCAAAACGCAGCAAAGAGAACCAGGCAAAATTTGTCCAAAACTCGTGGCATCAACCGCTTGTCCGCCAAAGTCTGTGACAGGATGCGGTGTTGCAAAACGACGGCTAATGGAACCATATTAAATACCTCTGAATTGCCAAACTGATTCACCATGACGACTGTCTTTAATCCCAAGGGATTTCGCATTCAATTTCGAGTAAAGTAGCACAAACAAGACAACAATACATGGCAGTATTGCTCAAAGATGGAATTTTCTCCGCACCAACCCTTCCGTATCTCTGACAGGCTATTTGCATGGGACTCATACCTAGCTTTCTCCAACAGTAGCCAGGAAACTTATCCGGTAAAGGTCCATCTCGCCAGCAACATTATTAATGCCTTTGTCCACTAGCGGCTCAAGCTGACAAGTGCAACCTACCTACAGTTTGCCTTTACCCCAATTCTCGCCCTGTTCAGAACTTGTTCAGCATGGTCCGAGAGAGCAGATTATAAGCGCCTACTTACCATGCCCAAAACTTGCTGGCCGCGATTCAACGCCCTTGCCGGTTCTTCCCCGAGCCATTGCGGCTCCAAATCGTTGATGCCCTTCTCGATGTCATATCCCCTCCCGCCTCCGACGAAAACAGCCCTCCCATTGTGTTGCTCGCCCGTTGCCAGCTCGCAGATGATTCGTGCCACATCCCCGGGCTGATTCATGGGCAATCCCGCCGCCTCCCACGCCGTCTTCACATGGCCCAGCATTTGGGTGTCGGTCGCCCAGGGACAAACCACGTTGATGCGGACATTGAATCTGGCAGGCGTGTACAAGCGCAGGGCGCGCATAATGCCCAGCACGCCATGCTTGGAAGCCGAATAGGCAAAGAGCCCCGGCGACTCCTTGAAGCCGGCAACCGACGACAGCAGAATGATGGACCGGGAGCCTCCGCGTCCCTCTGTTGGTCCCTGCGGCCGCAGGTATGCCAGTGCGATCCGGGTAAAGTACAACGAGCCCTTCAAGTTGATGTCGAGAATATCCGCCAGAGGTGTTGGAACCTAGCGGCACAGGGTTAATACCGTTGGTAAAAAAAAAAAAAAAAACAAGCTGCTGGCCCCAAGGCACCCGCCGTCACGCAAAGCACATTAGGCGTGGTAAGCCCGTTTCCAGGCCGGACAAGACTTACGGTTCTGACGCTCTCCAAGTCGAGGCTCTCTGGCTCAAACCAACCCGCCTGTTCGCCCACAGCGGCACAACAAATGGCGATATCCACGCGTCCATGGGTTTTGATGGCTGCGTCAAAGAGCTCAAGTTGCGACTCGTACTTGCTAATGTCGATTTTCACAAACTGAATGCTGCCGGTGCCATTTCCCGCATCTGCAACAAGGGCATTGTTGTATGAGCGAGCTGCGTCTTCGTTCCAGTCGCCGCAGACAACGTGGCCGCCTGCTCGGTATAATGCAGAAACTGTTGCGGCCCCAATGCCTTGCGCACCGCCTGTGCATGCGTTTAGTGTCCCTCTGTCGTATCAATCGCATCGAATTCACTCGTTGTGACTTACCTGCGAGTACGACCACCTTGTCTCGAACCGAAGACAGATTCAGCGAATTTAATGTTATCTCACTCATGTTTCTATGTTTGCAAATAGGAAAATCGAAAAGAAATCTAGTCAAGTTATGATGATCCGTTCGAGGCCTCTCCGTATCGTTATATGAATACTGCATCAACCTTGTAGGCCAAGCATGCTGCGCGGCCTTGCCTACATGGGGGATTATCAATCAGATGAGCACCTGGCTCCACCCCTCCCACTTTCGTTGTGTTATCAATCAATTGATCCCGATGGTTCTGTTGGGGGAATTCCCGAGCGTTTTCTGGGGGTTTGGGGGGAGAAGTAGCCGAATTCCCGAGGGCACCCTGTTGGATTGCGGCGCCGTCGGAGGGTCTGGGGTCCTTTCGGCCGAAGTCCGAGCCCTCGCCCCGTTGAAATATTCATGGTTCAGCATCTTCACACGCAACGACGGCATAAAAGGTAAAGACGAAATGGTCTGGTAAGCTAATGTAGGCATTGGCCACGTGGAGCTGCTAGAGAAGAGCACCCAAGAGCCAGCTTTGCGCAAATCTCCTTGGATTGATATATACCAAGTGGCCGGTCCTTCATGTCTATTGCTAATATCCCGGCTATTTCCAGTGGCCAACTTGTTGTTCCTTTGAAGCCACCGAGCCTACCGTCCACAATATAAAAAATAACCTCACCGCAAGCCGTCAAGAATATCGGGGCTCCATCATATATACAGCATCTAATGCTGGCATCTATGCGTTTCTAGTCGGGCCAATATGCCGCAAGCAAATGTAGAGTCGTAGGCTTAAACCACGGGGCTACAATGCGCAGTGCTACGAAAAGTCATGCTACAAGAGGAGCTTGAGAGACTGCAGCGAGTCTTCACACTGGACCTCGATCCTCTTGACCAAATCCAGAGCCTCATTCTTCTCAATCAACAAATGCGCCACGAGCCAAAAGTTGTATGCATTCCTGTGCATGCCAGAAGCCCGCCACACGTCCTGCCGAGTATTAGCCCGGACCGCCAGCCACGACGAGCGCCAGCGCTTGAGCGCGTGTCGCGCCGCCGCCGTGATTTGATCAACGCCCTCTGCCCACGCGGGCTGCTCAGACGCCGGGTTCTGCCGCCGCTGGCCCATGGCGGCGCCTAGAGGACGACGCAGGAGCATGTTTGCACGTATAAAGACGTAGAGCACTGTTGGCCCCCCTTGTCAGCGACACGTGCCAGGTCAGCCGTGAAAGAACGAGCGAGCTTACAGTGAATCGTCAGGAACAAATCCACAACGGTGCGGGAGCCATAGTTTACACAAGACTCCACGTCGCACTGTCGCTGGGCGGGCGGTGGGTTCGACTGCTCCCGGAACAGCTCTTCAAAGGCTTCCGCGGTGGTTGAGCCGCGGCGGAAGCGGAAGTTTTCTTCGGCAAAGGGGTGCTTTGCATTGAAGACGGCGTTTTCGCACGGGAGGTCGTGTTCTAGCTCGGAGAATGCGAGCTTGCACGGATAATTCGAGAAGAAGAGAAATGCGCAGTCTAGCAGCCGTATCATGATGATTGTCCTTTGCCACAGGTCAGGGCCAGTTTTAAAAGAGGAAAAAGGGGGGGGGGGGGGGGGGGGTTACAAAAAAGAGACTCACCGTACTTGCGTCTCTTTGCGAATCCACAACTCCTCAGAGATTCGATCCTGCGGGAGGTGTTGAACCTGCGTCAATCCGGATTTCCGGGCAGCCTGTGCACGTCAGCTTCCGACCCTCTGGTGGTAAGGTTGCGCGGTCAATACAACCTTGACAAGCTCGCAGAAGCGAGTTTCCATGGCGCGGCTTTTGGCCTGCCGCGTGCCGGCCCAGTATTGCACCGTCGTGATCAGATAGCCTGCCTGGATCTGCTGAAACTGATGCCAATCCAACTCGTTGTGGGTCGACTCGTCCGAGGGGTGCTTGATTTCATGGGCCGCGGCAAACACCTCTGCCGAGAAGATGACCAGCTCGGCAATGTTGAGAAGCTTGCGCGCCGCTAGACGCTCGGCCTTGTCGTGAGAATACATGGCGCCAAGGGCAATGACGGAAATGAGCAGCTCGGTTGGCACAAGCTCCGTATCAAAGGAGGGGGGGTGTAAGACTGGGCCGTTGGGGTGCCAGTTGAGGAAAAACAAGCCGACAAAGGCATCTATCTTTGGCTGGCAGCACAGAAACCCGATGATGGCGGTCATCTCGTCCAAGGAACTGGGGTGGAGATGAAGTTGTTGGGCGGTGCGCAACAAGACGTCTCGCAACGCGGTTATTTGAGGCGTCTCGGCCTTGCTCTCCTGACCCAGGGCAGGTTGTTGAAACATGTTGGGGACATTCTCACGAACGAGCCAGACCAAGTCCCCCTCGTCGACGTCGTTCACCCATGGCTGCGTGGTGCCAAAAGGTCCGGTCCAAAAGTCTGATACTGAATTCAGCAGTAATTCAAAACCCTCGGACGGCCCAAGGCTGAGGTGAAGCTGGCTTTCAAAGTCGGCAAGACCCTCGTAGTCCAACGATGGATTTGCGCGGGGCGCTTGCGGGGGGGCACCAACATCTCCCGTCTCGTCATGAAAAAAGGGGAGGTTGAACTTTTCTGTGAAACTTTGGGTGCCGTTGTCGAGAAGGGCCTTGATGGATCTTGCATCGCTCGCAGAATCGGCCGCCTGGCTGTCGTCCGCAGCGCCTTCTTCGTCTAGCTGGTATCAGCAACATTCGCGAGACAGACATGGATGCGGGACTCGCGCACCCGTGGTACTTGCCGGCCGTTGCGGTCGAGCGATTCGTGAGGTGTCGCAGGCCAGATTCCTCCTCCGACAGCCATTACAGGGCGTGCCACCTTCGCATCGCAGCTTCGACGCTGTGCACTGGGCTCCGTGTCAACGGGGAACGAATCATGACCACACCGGCTGCTGTGAACTGACCGCTGCGCAAGCGCGCCGACGCCTGCCTCTCTGGCCGCCTTTGGGGATCTCGCGGTCGCCCCTCGTTCCGCAGTTATCGTAGTGATCCCGCAGACGATCACTCCTTACGAACCTTTGGCCACAGTAGAGGCATGAATACGGCCTCGCACCGGTATCTACGCGAGGGTCAGTAAGAGGTGCCAAAAGAAGGCACCATGCCATGATTGATGAGTAACGACGGACGCGGCACGTACGACTCAGGGCGTGTCTCCGCAGGTGATCAGGACGGGAAAACTCTCGGGAACAAGTTGAGCATTGGTACGACTTCTTGACAGCAAGCAAGACGTCATCACCACCAGCCTCGCCGGGGGAGACTGGAGAGCTGAGGTTTTTGGAACCAGTCCGCATGGTTATTTTTCGTGATCTTGCGCGGGAAGGAATACTGGCAGCTCGCCAAAAGAGAAGAGTCTGGCAGTTTTTCGACATGGACGTCGTCGGTTCGGATACGGATTTGATTCCGACGTCGCACGTAGGCAAGCCCCTGGTCCAATGCGTTAATGCTCCACTTTTATGTCTCATCGCTCTCTTGCTAGTCTCAACTAGGCTTAGCGGCTTGGTCTTCACCCCAGTTTCTCCAGGTACCCCGCATGCGCAAATGCCGTCCATGTGCTGGTTCCTATTCAAGAAATTGCATGTATTTGCCTGCTTAAGCTTACCTAGGTACGTAGTCTACAGTCTAGAAGCCGTCAATGGGATCAGAGTAGCCCACGCAATGCATACCAAGCCAAAAATGCCACGCTGTGTCTTCAACAATACGCTCTTTTACAACCGGGGCGCATCCGATGTCGGTGTCGGTGCCGGCGAGGGCAAAGGCACCGGGGGGAAATCTATCTGACCATCATCGAGATAATCCACGTTGACGGCCCTGGCCTTCTCCTGCTGTGTCCATCCATCGCCAATCCAGCTGTTCACATCGCCCTTGCCGTACCGGTATTCGAAATCTTCCCAGCGCGGATGAGCAAAGACTTGCATGGCGTGTAGAGACGAACCTGCCTTCCATGTCAGTACTGTTCATCAGATTGGTTGGGCGTATAGAAGCTTACCGGGCCAAAGTGCGCTGACCCTCCCGTCATATGTGCCTCCCTTGTACCAGCTGCGGCAGTGGAGCGTGAAGACTGTCTTGTCGAAATACGCATCGCAGTACTTGGTGAAGCGTTGGACGGCCTGTTTTTGAGGAGCCATGGCGACAATGTTGTCTCGCTGCATCTTGGCCACGCACATGGTCATGTAGTCCATGGCCTTTTCGATAAGCAGGAGCAGGTTGCCGGACCCCAAGGACCCGTTGGGTCCCAGACTCACAAAGAAGTTGGGGAAGCCGTCTGTCGACGTGGAAAGGTACGTCTCCGGAACGGCCTTCCACCTCTCTGCCAGTGACTGGCCTTGACTGCCAATGATGGGGATGCGAGGCATGAATGAGGTGTCAAAGCCAGTGGCGCACACAATAGCATCGACCGGGTGATGCTTTCCGTCTTGTGTCTGGATGCCCGTTTCATCGACCTGGACTATTCCTTGCGTGATGACGCTGACCTTGTCGTCGGTCAGAGCTTCCAAGTAGCCCGGGCCGGGAGTCAGCCTGCGACATATAGGTGGAAACGAGGGGATCAGAGTTTCTGCCAACTCTGGCTTCTTCTCGAGCCTTTTTTTCATGGCCTCGGTGAACAATCCCACGGCCCCAAGCTGCTCTGGCGTGTCTCTGATGGTGGATCCGTGGACGGACTGCAGTTCAAGCTCGATATCTGGGCGGCTTGTTAGTGGACAACATGTTTTCTGACCAAAATAAGTGGTGGGCAGTGCTACTTTTTCGGAACTCTTGATATACGGATTTGTCCGTCTTGAACGCGGCCTTTTCCTCATCGGTAAATGTAACTGCTTCTGTCTCAGCTTCCTTTTCCAACGGTTACTTTTCGGCCAAAGTAGGGCTTACAGTTGTCGATGCCGCCTCTACGCTCATCAATCATTGCTCGAGCAAAAGTTGGCGACAGCCAGGTTTTCCCTCGGATGTAGTGGTCAATGTGCGAGACTTTCGGCAGCATCGCCGGCAGGATTTGTATTCCGCTTGATCCATTGCCAATCACGGCCACTCGTTGCCCCTAAAAAATCCATGAGCGTGGTTGAGTGAAGAAGCGGCCAGGTGTCAATTACCTTGTAATCATAGGACTCATCCCAGGCCGCGCTGTGCAACAGCTTTCCCCGGAACTTGTGCAAGCCGGGGATATCTGGCCAATTCCACGAGTTCAACGCACCGGTAGCAGAGATGAGCACATCGCATTTATCGGTGTATTCAGAGTTTTGAACCAAGTCTCGAATCTGTCAAGTGTTATCTTGATTGCTGCGCGACGGTCCATGGGCCGATTCGCTTACCTTTAGTGTCCATTTGGATTCCTGGTTGTCCCAGACAGCGCCGGCGACCTGCTGGCGGAGTTTGATGTATTTCATGCAGTCGTACTTTCTGGCAACCTTCTTCCAGTACGCATGGATCTCTTGAGATGACGCGTAGAATTGGGACCACTCGGTGTTTGGTGAGAAAGTGGCTTGGTACACGTGGGCAGGTATATCGCAAGCACAGCCTGGATACCGATTCTCGAACCAAGTACCCCCAATATCTTCGTTCTTCTCATAGACTGCCAGAGACAGGTTTGGAATTCTTTGGGGGAAGCGGATCGAGGCAAGTATGCCCGAAATGCCTGCGCCGATGACAACCACACGAATTGGGCGATAGTCATCGATGGAGCGGTCCGCTAAGAAGCTCGCTCCCCCGTCGTTTCCGTTTGTATCTTGTGACTCCGTCATAATGGTAGTCGTGTTGGTAGAAAATAGAGACGGCGGGAATAGTGGAATGGAATGGCGAGATGGGATGAATTAACCATCGAGAGGACTTTCATGGCCAACCCCGTCTTCTTAAGGAAGTTGCTTCGGCCGTCGGTCTCAAGTTTTGCCAAGGCTTTGCCTTCGGAAGTGAGGTGGGTCGATTAGAAAAGCAGGCCCAAATGCTAACATTGAAACCTTCAACGTCCCCAACTCCTTCAGCCTTGGAGATCGGCGGGTCTAGACATGGATGGGGGTTGGGGGTTGTTCGGAAAACCCCCCATCCCCAACCCCCAAATAGCCCGCGATACCCCCCAAGTATGGAGCAGAGCATCCTACCTTGAAGAATTGGCGTAATTGGTACACCGCCAGACCCTCTGTCAGTTCTTGCTCTATTATTTCACCTTTTGCATACATCCCAGGTCACGTCGATTGCTGTAGCCGAACGGCAAAGGTGTAAGTATTGACGCATAACAAACCAACACTGCTCTTCATTCTCCAGTCAAAATGGGTTCTGCTACGAAAATCAATGAATATCAAAAGATATTCCATTGGGCAGAGACGCAAAAGAACGGGGCGATACCGTCTTTCCACACCAGGAAGAGTGACCCCTACCAGGTATGACTCGTGTAAGCTTTGAAGAGAATAGCAACCACTCACTGCTACTAGTACCAAGCGGGCTTTGGGAATTCGTATGTTGCCAGATGAAACACTGCGCCCGTTGCTGCATGTGCTAAGCTTGTCAAATAGATTCTCCTCCGAGGCTGTTCCAGGTACATTGCCCCAGGGCCAAAATAATCCGCGCCATGTGAGATTCGGCTCGTACGCCGAGCAAATCACGGCGACAGCCTTTGTGGCGCCACGACATGTCAACAGGAAGGCCTGGCTGTATCGTGTCCGCCCTGCCGTCGCCCATGACGGCTTTGTAAGAAACTCATGTTGAAACAGTGTCACCTGCCTTGCCTGCTAGGGCTGATGTTCGATTTCAGGTCGATATCCCACAAAACGCAGCCGCCGAGTCCAATTATCTGCTCAGCAACCCCAAGGTCCATATTTCTCCAACCCAGCTCGCCTGGACGCCCATGGATATCCCAGACTCGGGCTCGATTGACTTTGTAGCGGGCATCAGATCCATTGCCGGATCTGGCGAGCCGACCCTCGGTGAAGGGCTCGCGGTCCACGTATACACTGCCAATTGCAATATGACCCAAACGGCCTTTGTAAATGCCGACGGAGACTTTCTGATTGTCCCGCAACAGGGCGCCTTGGATGTACAAACTGAGTTTGGCAAAATGTTTGTCCAGCCCGGCGAGATTGCTGTCATCCAGAAGGGAATCCGGTTCCGAGTCGAGCTTCCCGACGGGCCATCCAGAGGCTACATGCTTGAAATTTGGGGCTCGAGTTTCGAACTGCCAGAGCTAGGTCCGCTTGGTGCCAACGGACTCGCCAATGCGCGCGACTTTTTGACGCCCGAGGCCTTTTATGAAGTCAAAAAGGAGCCTTGGGAGATTATCTTCAAAGTGTGTGGGAAGCAGTTCAAATGTACTCAGGACCACTCGCCATTCGATGTTGTTGCATGGCATGGAAACTATGTAGGTGTTGTGAAATTGTTTACCCCCCCGTGGAAACAAGGTTCCCGCTGACACGCGCGAGGTCCCGTTCAAATACGACCTGACAAAGTTTGTCAATGTTGGCTCCATCTCGGTCGACCACATTGATCCCTCCATCTTCTGTGTCCTGACTGCCAAGTCTCGGAATCCCACCGCGCCACTGGCCGACTTTCTCATCTTTTCCCCGCGCTGGGACGTGGCATCCCGTACGTACCTCCGGGGCCAATGCTATCCTGCGAGTCTAATCACGCGTAGATACGTATCGACCGCCGTATTTCCACCGCAACGCTGCCTCTGAGCTCATGGGGTTAATCTACGGAGACTACGGCGGCCGCTCTGACGACTTTCGCCCTGGCAGTATTTCTTATGAGTGTGGAAGTACGTCTTGTCTTCGAGGCATGACACGAATTAAGCAATGCTAACGTGGAGATTGTAGTGGTGCCGCATGGAGTAGCATATGAAGAATTCAAGCAAGCCACTGAATGCGAACCGCCAGTGATGCAGATCTCGACGGGGTCAGTGGCCTTTATGTTCGAGTCGAGCCGGGCCTTTACAATTACCAACTATGCTTGGACAAGTGATAAAAAGCACGAGCACGAACCTAGATTATGGAACGATCTGGAAGACCACTTCTCAGCTCACCTTGATGAAGTAGAGAAATTGCTCGCCGAGACCAAGGCTAGATAGAATGACGACAATGATGCGCGCACTAGCAACGAGGGCGTCATTTCATTGGTATCCTAAATATGCAATGCTTTTTCTACTCGTTAGCAACACTTTGTATTATTTGAGGCTTAATACTGGATTCTTCCAAGGCTGGTCTTGCGGCTAGAACGAAGCGAAATTCTCGGCCGAGCACCAACAATACCAAGTATGAGTCATTATCAAAATATCCATACTCTCGGTGAGCATAGAGTATTTTTGCAGCGTAATCATCAACCCAAATCAGATAAGGAAACGTCCTGTAAGCGAGAAATAGATCTTAAGTGCAGTATACAGAATCGCCATGTGCGATTGTACAAGCGATCCAGGAGTGGTCGGGATATTCCCCCGCCAAACCTGGTCAAGTGGTTCGGAGTTGTAGACTGTTTACCGGGCGCAAATTTCGTGCACTTCGGCTCAATGGTATTCCAAAGATCCTGGGGGTGGCATGGGTGCAAGGAGGCTACATGTGGCGAGGCATCCGGGCAGCCTGAACTTGCTTAGAACCCATGGGGGTATTTCCGAAGCTCCAAAATTACGGGTTGCCAAGCCCCGATGCTAAATACCGACGGCTCTGTTTCGAGATTCGCTGAATTTTTCGTGGAAAAGGGGCACATGGCTTTTGTTTATCGTGACGCCATCCGTCTTTCGCGGTGGTTTCGGATGTGGTGCCGATATTCCATACATTGTTGCGCAGGTCATCGAAGAGGGCGCGGATCCTATACGTGCCAACGTTTTGTAAACTTGATGATAATTACGCTGTGCGTCTTATTTCCTATTTTTGATTACAAGCGATGCCAAAGTACCGGCCACTTTTCTACTCGTCACTTTTGGGGTCGAGCCCTAGTTCTGTTTTGGACCAGACTCGACTCACCGGCACTTTTTCAACTCTCTTCCTTTAGGTCGATCTGGGTATGGCCTCGCGGCTGCATTTACGAGCCCAATGATTCCTGTGAGCATGGCCCTGGTTTAAGCCTCATGTGGGTAGTCAGCATCAACATCACATCCTCGATTCTGCTTGGAATTCACAAGGTTTCGGCGGCCATGGCTTTGGCGCCAAAGGCGTAGGCATTTGGCCACTTGTTCAAAGATTTCATCGCCAATCGATGTATGCCGAAAACCCATTTTATTTTCAAGTCGACTAGGTCATAGCCGCGAGCCACGCTGAAACATTTGGCATCCCGGTGGCCTTCGCTGCTGCTGCATTGAACACTTGTCTTGATTTCTGTAATAATGCATAGGGACCGAGTCAGGGCACACAATAAAGCTATTTAAAGTCGTATTATTAAAGCTGGCTAAAATCCGGGAAATACTCTACGACCAATCAGAATTCGCAAAAGTCATGCCCGTGTATGCATCTCCTCAGAATATATTAATATTCAAAACAATTCATGCGACTCCCGTCATGCTCCCACTTTTTAATGCTTCGTCTTCGCTTCCACCCTTACGCAAAGACGAAATATCAATAGTGGGAGCGTAGCACAAATAGGCATTATTTATGCGCATAAGCCTCGCTCTATAACTGCATTTTTCGTTACATATATGCTTTGCTTGTCGTTGCAGGGGGGTGAGAGCGATGCCTGGAGAAAAACGGCAATGATAGAAAACCAGCACACGCAAAACCATGTCACCAGCCCCCCCTAGTAACTGGGAGCCAGGGTGGCGATACACGCAATGTCAATCAAGAGGTCAACTCTACATTCTACAAGTGTCCTCAGCCAGGCAGGTACGTCTCCGTGCTCGGAGTTCCCAACACTGTGGACCTCTATCTCTAAAGCCATCATGGCTAATAGCCTCCACTGTCCAGATGTATCACCAAGCATGAACACGTATAGGGTATTTATGCGGGCCTACAAAGACGGTTATGCCGCAAATTAACTCTATACAGCCATGACTAGCAGGTGGTAGCAGTATTGTCAAGACCCTTCCCATGTCCAATGCGCAGATCTAGACTAACAAGTTGCGTACACACACAGAGTTCGCTCAGATTCATATGCGATCATGCGCATATTGGTGTTGTTGGAAGGCGATTAATTTACCCTGAAGAAATGTTGACATGACTTTATTGTACTATGCTTTACGTGCAGGTGATACACGCATTGCACCAAATAGATTAGAATAGGCAATGCGTGGCATGCGGAATCAGACCACACCAGAGTAATGTGATGACGGATGTTCAGCCGACAGCCACAGATCGACAAACATGGAGCGGACAGGACGATATATGAATCTTGAAACAGAAATGACTCAAGTATTGTGCAAGAACATGATGACGGTATAGATTAGAGGTATATATAAGGCAGCTTCAGACGCTCCTCCTGGTATTGTGTCCAAGTCACAAGCAGTCTGATTCTTTCTATACCAAGGTTTTAACAACATTATTGCAATACTACCACCGTTACCATGGTTCGCCTTAGCTTTATTATGTCTAGTCAGTACTCCTACGGTTCATGTATGATTTATGAAGCAGCTAGCTAATCCGAGAACTAGTCGCCTTGGCGGTTCAAGGCATTCAAGCCGCTCCTGCGGTGCGAAATAACAATATTGAACGGCGCGACAGCGTTATTCAGCGGGCTGAGAATACTCCAGTTAGTTATCCCGGTGGATATAAGAAGCGGGATAACAGCCGCCCGTCTGACAATTCTGTGAACAAAAAGGACAAACCAACGCTAGCAGCGGAATCTACTAGTAGTTCCGGGAGCGACAATGGCAGTACACCGCCGGCTACCAAACCTTCCGAGAACTCTGGGAGCGATACGGGCAGTACGGCGCCGGCTATCAAACCTTCCGAGAACTCTGGGAGCGATACGGGCAGTACGGCGCCGGCTATCAAACCTTCCGAGAACTCTGGGAGCGATACGGGCAGTACGGCGCTGGCTACGAAACCTCCTGGTAACTCCGGCAGCGGAAATGACAATCCACCGCTAACAGCGGAATCTCCTAGTAGTTTTGGGAGCGACGAGGGCAGTACACCGCCTAAAGAGGAATCTCCTAGTAGTTCCGGGAGCAAAAAGGGCGGTACGGCGCTGGCTACGAAACCTCCTGGTAACTCCGGCAGCGAAAATGGCAATAAAACGCCGGCAGTGGAATCTCCTGATTGCTCCGACAGCAAAAGCGGCAGTACATCGTCGGCTACGAAACCTTCCAAGGACTCTGTGACCGATCAGGATATTACGAAGTCGCCTCCAAATGGTGCTGATAACTCCGGCAGCGAAAACGGCAGTACAGGGTCGGCTACCAAACCTTCCAAGAACTCTGATATCGACAGGATCAGTGCAGCGTCGGCTGCGAAGCCTCCTAATAACTCTGTGGCCGATAAGGATAATGCGAAGTCGACTCTAAATGGCGCTGATAACTCCGGCAGCGGAAAGGGCAGTACAGGGCCGGCTACCGAAGCTTCCAAGAACTCTGGGAGCGACAAGAGCAGTGCAGCGCTGGCTGCGAAATCTACCAATAACTGTGACCGAAATGGTAATACGACGCCGACTCCAAATGGTTCTAAGAACTCTGGGAGTAAAGGTGATGGCACGCTGCCTCAGGCACTTCCCACATCTGTTCCCGGGGCGAACGTCGACCCCAAGGTCCCGACTCGTACCCCGGGAGAAGAAAAGGCCGTTCAGGACAAGCTAGACAAGCTAGAGGAGCAGGCGGCAACGGGGCAGAAAGAGGCAACGGGGCAGAAAGAGAAGGCTTAGCGAGAGGGTTAACGCGGACCGACCAAGTTCAACACTAGTCGGAAGGGTCTAGAATTGTGTAAGCAGAACTAAAAGCTTGGAATAGTTGGTTGAGATGCAATTTTATAGGTAACTTTGAGGTATGAAAGGTCCTTGGTTTACACTGAGGTCTTGAGAGACTGGGGCTATTTAAAAATACAAAAAAATCGGTGAGGATTGCTGGCGGCTATTGCTTAAGGCCGAAGTCTGGGTTCTCGTGATGTCTTTTTTTGTTCTTGTGTACTTGACCCTTTGTTGTCCGATACTTTTATCCAGGCCCAGCCGTGTGACATTATGCAACCAGCGCCAGATTTAGTAAGGCTTTGGAGAGGGTTAGGATGCAACTGAGGCTTGATGGCGCGAAACAGGATTTGTTGACGTTGGCCACCTCTTGCGCTTCAAAGGATTAGTGAAAGGGTGAGGTTTTGGCAGGGCGGCGACGGATATAGTCGATACCGTCCAATGTTTGTCCCAAACACGGCCAACTACTCATTTCGCTACAGAATGACGAGTTCCACCATGGTGGAGCTTGCTTCTTGCATGTGCGCATGTGGCCTTCGCATATTGGCATGAATGTTGCAGTTGTGCAGCCAAATGCGTCAATCGGTCCCCCCTCACCCCTGGCCTGGCGCGACATGATGAGATGGGCGCCAAGATGATGACAACGGTTTGCTGCAACGTCAAGTTGCACACGTGTTTTTCTCTCTGGAAACCAACTGTCTTCATCTACGGCAGTCCGATCGCGTCTGGTTGAGCGCATCCCGCCATGGCAGCGTCTACCACGGGCAAACAACACCCGCTCCCATCCAGCAAGCCGGGCAGCGAACCGTTGATACCGCGTGCAGGCGACGTCTTCGGCCAAGAAGACCACCATGACATCAAATACAAGAGGCTCTCGTGGCCGTTGGTCGCCGTCCTCATGATTGCCGAGATTGTCTCCAACGGCATGCTCTCTCTGCCCTCGTCGCTGGCCGTGGTCGGCATGGTGCCCGGCCTCATCATCATCGTGTTCCTCGGCGTATTCGCCACGTATACGTCCCGGCTGCTGGTCGAGTTCAAGCTCCGCCACCCCGAGGTGCATACCATGGGCGACGCCGGCTACATCATGTTTGGGCCGCTAGGGCGCGACATCATGGCCTTTGGGACCTGCTGCTTCTCCATTTTCGCGTCCGGCGGCCAGATGCTCTCCGGCCAGATTGCCCTGGCCTCGCTGAGCGACAACAAGCTGTGCCTGATGCTGTACACGGGCATTTTTGCCGTGCCCACGCTGCTTTTTTCGCTGCCGAGGACGTTCCACGGTCTGAGCTGGATTTCCATCGCAAGCGTTTTGAGCATCTTTGTTGCTGGCGTCGTCGCCATGGCGGCGGCGGGCATCTCGCCGGATCCGAGCAGAACCGTCCAAGTAGCCATGCCGTCCAACTTTTACACTGCATTTATATCCATCACCAACCCGGTCTTTTCGTTTGCCGGCCACTTCATGTAATTTGTTCCATTCTGCGAAGCCTTGGGCTTTTACAGCACTGACATTCCTCCGGCGACAGGTTCTTTGTTCTCATGTCGGAGATGAAGGAGCCGCAGCACGCCATGCGCGCGGCCTACACCCTGCAGTCCTTTGCCACCGTTTTTTATGCCGTTTTTGCCGGCGTCACCTACGGCTATATTGGAAGTACCGTCCAGTCGCCTTCCTTCTCGTCCCTGTCTCCTCGCTGGCAAAAGCTATCTTGGGGGCTGGCCTTGCCAAATCTCCTGCTTGCCGGCTCTCTGTACGCGCATACAGCCAGCAAAGTCATCTTTGTCCGAATTTTTCGCCATTCCAAGCATTTGCACAGCCACACATTGCTAGGATGGGCAGTCTGGATCTCACTGGTTCTGCTCACCAACGCCTTGGCCTTTTTGCTCGCCGTCGGCGTTCCCATCTTCAACTACTTGATCGGAATCGCTGCATCGCTCTTCGCCGCGTGGTTTACGTACGGCATGTAAGTCGTGTAAACTCTATATCATACACATCATCTTGGCTCTCTCATCCGCCCAAACTCGTCCTACCATTCAAGTATTGCGACATGTCCTGCTAATACGCAATTCTTTTTGCAGGGCTGGCATGTTCTGGCTGCACGACTCATATCACGACGGTCCCGGTTTCTACGCCTGGCGAAAACAATGGGGGCAAGCGCTTCTCGCAGTGGCAACGATTCTGTCTGGGGCCTTCATATGCGTTGCAGGCCTTTATGTCACCATTCGTGCTATTGTCGATGCCTATGCCGGCCATCAGCTCCCTCCTCCATTTACTTGTTAATGTTACAATAACCTAAAAGAAGCTAAATAGCGTCAATATCATGGAGGCTTTGCATATCGAGAAATCGTTGATATGGAAGATGACTTGGACGTGTTATATTCGAGGGATCTATGAATTGACGATACTTTGACGACGGGCATAAATACACCACGACTGCCAGAGTGTTCTTCAGAAACTGGGATTGGCACCCCTGCAGCTTTTGACAAGCTTATTACCGCCCATATGCCAAAAATGAGACGCGTCCTTGATTTCAGAGAAATGGATAGGGTATTGAGTATGGCCGAACCTGTGGAGAAAATGGTAAACGGAGCGGCACTTCCGAGAAAACGGCGACGGAGAAAATCAGGACATGAGCCAGATACTGCAGGCTTCGGGTCACTGGAGAAGGCGACTCTCATCATAGATATGGCGCTTTCGGGCTGAAGAGCCGTTGGCCTCGATTGCTGGAGCGCCGTACTTAACAAGCAACTCTCTTCATTCACTCCAGACACGGCACAAAGACGTCTGGCGATGAGAACAAATTCCTGGCGAACCCCGAAACTTTTATCCGTCGTGGAGAACCTGATGGCGAAAAATGAAGCTCAAAGTTACCACTTGAAGGCTGCAGAAAACACTATCCCGCGATAGGAGGAGATTGAATTGGGCCGCTCAGACTCTCGCAATATTGGTGATTGCATAGCCTGGGTTGGACACGCGGGATGAGGAATGTCACGAATTAACTAGAATAGGGAAAAGGGAAATGTCACTCCCACCAGTGCCTCCTACAATTAAACCTTATATACCTTTAAGTTGTAGATTCTCTGTTTTCTCACCGGTTCTCTCCAAGATGTCTGGTAGCATCTCAACATGTTATGGGACTGCTCGCAGGGTCGAGACCTCTCTGTACGGTGCCAATACCCGCGGCAGACGGGTGAGGAGAAAGAAGGCTGGCGATGGATCAAGAACAATCTGGAGGAGCCACGTATATTACAGGACCATTGCAGCTCATCTCAGACTACATATCATGGAACAGTAAGCAAGCTACAATCTTAAGTTTTGCCACTGATACGCTTCTCTTGTGGCTGTACACCTTGGTATAAATAAAGCTCATCAGTCATTTAGGCCTTGAGAAAAACTACCTTGTCTTGGGCGCAATCATCGTAAAATTCTTCTGCGGAGCTATTTATAAGATCGTTCTCCGTGGTGAGGCTGTTGGACGACCAAGGCATAGAGCAGAGGGGAAAGCGGATGAGGTTGAGGTAGTGTGACGAGGGCAGGGTAACGGAGCGCAGAACATGGAAGGTTCAATTCAATCTAGAATAATCCCAGGTGCCAACTAGATACAAGTACTAGCAATTGCACGTACAAATCTAGACCATTCTCGCTTCGGCATCTCGTGCGCCATGCTTTCAACAACAACCAATTTGGACCCTGTGATTTCCTCCTTCAAGGCCTCGGCGTGCGCCAGTGGAATATTCCGATCCTCCCGGCCATGCACAATGGTGGTGCGACACTTGACATTACATAGCAATTCCCTTGGCCAGCGTCCGGATACCGCTGCGCTCTGGTTGAAAATGCTCTGCACACTATTGCCCTGCCTGGAGATGCGCGCAAACTCGACAGCCTGTCTCTGGTACATGTCCTCCCGCTCACGGCCTTCGTACTTGCGAAACGAAGTACAGTCCACACAGAACATGAGAAAGTCCAAGACCATCTCTTGATTCTGCCAATCGCTGGGAATAGGCGCCGTTGCCAGCTGAGCGCCGAGCTCGGGGTTCAACTGCGGGAGGGCGTCTTGGGTAGACGGCGACGGGCCGACGGGACTTGATGAGAAAAGAGAGAGGCTTTTCACGCGCTGCGGGTGCTGAGCAGCAATCATCCATGCGATGGCGCCCCCGAGACTGAACCCGGCGAGGTTGGCGGACTCGATGCGCAATTCGTCGAGAATGGCGACGGCATCGTCGCAGAAGTCGTTGATGGAATAGTGAGCCGCTTCGCCGAGGGGGAAATTGGTAGATCGGCCAGTGTCTCGGTAGTCGAAGCGGATGATGAAGGAGCCTCCCAGCTGTTCATCCACCATTGAAATGAAGTCCTCGTGCCAACATAACATGGACTGCGCGCCACCAGAGAGCAGCAGCAATGGCGTCGCTCCGCTGCGACCAAATGTTTGGTAACACACTTTCACACCGCCCGGTCGTGTCAGAAACTGTTCTGGGTGAACTTCCATTGTTGAACCAAGGCAGGATGCTTTGAGGATAGAATAGTTTGTATGGCATGCATGGACTGGTTTACGAGGCCATACCCCCATTATTTATCAAGTATTGAACCCTGCTAGCCCCGATAAGCAGGGTTGACCCAAAAGTCGATTCATGGCACAGTCATCCGGAACGGTTCATGCAGATCAATTGATGACTCAAGCGGAATTGTTCATGCAAGTGGCCTTTACGAAACCCACTACGGCCCTACCCATGTACCTTCAACTGTCCCGGGCAATTGGAAACATGCATACTGTTCAAGTCAGGCAGGCTCTAGCTAGTAATGACGTCAACTGAGTTTTCCCATCCCAGCTGCTGCCGATATTGCCGTCGCATGCCGCCTCTCTGGAAATTGATGTGGTGGCTCCGAGGTTGCGTGTTATCGAGGGGCCTGCGATTTGAAAGGATTACCCGCCTTTGGAACTCTTAAAAGAGGATCGCCGTCTGTCGCAATT